CATATGGAAAACCGCCAAACAATTGTGTGTTACTATCAAGAAAAACATCATTAGATTTTCAATCATTGATGAAACCTGCTAAATGTTGCGGATGTACGCTGTAGTAAATCATTTGCTCCAGTCGCAAAGCTATCGGCTAGCAAATGCACGTAAGTGAGCTGCTGAGTCATTCGCCGCGCGACGCGCCGCGTGCCGCGGACGATTCTGTTGCACGTCTCCCCATTCAACCCAAACCGTTAAGGCATCAAGAGCATTTGTAGCAGTAGGGGTTGGTCAGTACAGCATATTTTGACGTCATCAAGGTATATTGAACAGCGGACACCGCAATGAGGACGAATTGCCAAATCACTATAGCAAGAACACTAAATGCCTTGAACAAGACCCCAGGGGACACTACTGTCGGTTCGATATAATGTGGTGAACTACGAGAAAACTTAAAAAGGCATGCACCACTTTTAAGATAATTCAGTTTCAATTGAGGGTTTGGATTATGGAGTCGAGCGCTGGAGAGAATTCTAAAGCAGCAAAACAGTTCCTTCTCATCAATAGCGTACTGCCACGAAGAGAAAGTAGAATGGAGGACTGAGAAAGTTGCTTCCTTTCGTATTACGTATTTGCTCGACTAGGCAGAGATGTACTGGCCTGAATACACAGAAAAAATTGTAGACATTTTTGACTTGTTTCAATACACTCCGCTGGAGGTGTGCCAAGAATGGCGGAAGTGACGCCATCTGCAACTTTTTGAAATAAACGTATGGTGGTATGTCAGGAGGGGCTGTCAGCGTAGAGAAATTTTCTCGAAGGCAGTGGGCACAATGTTCCCGACAGAACACGGATGTTGAAGCACTGAATGGTGACGGGTGTGTGTCGATTCAATCGTCGACAATAAGTAGGTCGCCGCGCCGGTGGGCGGGGCGTACGAGTTTTGCTGCCTGGCATTACCGTACTCCCGAGTTGTCACTGGAGCAAAGGATTAGCGTTGTTTCACGGCGTCCTCGACCCACATCATGGAAAGTTTTGCTATGGCAATTTCTTTGAATTCCTGTGCAGCAACGTCTACCATCTACTATTCACTGCTACATTGCTAATATTCGCCGCCATCTTTTTGTGAAATTCTGGTGTTGTATTTTGCTGCTCTTTACATTTTTTTCTCACAAGGGAAGGATACCAACTCGTCCTGGCCATTCAGAATGAGATGTATACTCCTAGAAGCGTCTTCGGACGCTGATATCAGATCTGACTTCCAAATCTGCTAAACGATTCTGGGTGGAGAGTTACGGACCTTTTTTGCTACCGTGCTTAACCATTGCGGTGCGACCCCCTGCCCATGCTTTGCGCTCGTAAACCCCTCGTGACCCAGCTGCCGCCGTGGCTCGATGGCGCAGCAGGTAAGTGGATGGCTTCATAGTAGTGAGACGGAGGTTCAAATCCTTGATGCATTTCGTAGTTTTGCTTTTTCTTGAAACGCATGCTAAACACTTGGGAAGTAGTTTTGCGTACCTGTCCGACCACCAAGACCCCTCCCTGCTTCTTATTAGGGCCTATGTGCGACTTTTCAGGGGTTTTATTTTAACTTCAGTGAAAGCATTCATTTTGATTTTGTTGGCGTGACAG